GACAAACGATGAAAATATTAATAATACTTGGCATATTGGTGATAGTGTTCACAAGTTGTGGGACGCTCATATCCCCAGAAACTCAGTATGAACGAGAACGCTTGATTGCAGCACATGATGCCGCACGCCAAAAACATAATCCCGAAAGAGTTAAGGAGGCTGTAAAAGACCTTCTCGTCGGGAAGTGGCAGTATGTCGGCTTAGAGGTCGAAAAAGGTAATGTTAACGCCCAGCGAGCAAACTCCATGTCGCTACAGACAATCAACGCACCGACTTCTTCTGCGGTGGTGGCTTCTAAAGGTGCTACCAGCGAGCAGACAACAGCACCCAACGTGCCTCAGCAACCGACACCACCAGACCCGTTAAATCCAGAGGCAGAAGCACAGACCCCGGAGGCGAATGTGACCCGTCTGCCGCCAATTGAGGTGATGGATGAAGAATCCAATCAACAAATACTCGGCGCAAAAGCCGCACTTGTCGCCTCTACGCGTAAAAACCTGACGATCGAATTTTCCGAGGATCGTAGTTCGTACTACTACAGCGGTAGCAATCGCGGCAGGAATGTCACAGGGCAGTGTTATGTTACCACGAAGCGATACGGCGACGATCCGCTCCCATTCATCAATTTTAGTCGACAGACGGGACCAGAGATGCTTGCGTTTCTGTTCGGTTCCGAACCCATAAAACAGATGGTTGCAAAGATAAAACGGAGGGATGCCGCAAGAAGACGCAGAATGGGGGCACAAGGCGGACGCAAAGCCTCTGCAAAAGCCACTTACACAATTGCTTCAATCGCAGGAATTACGGTGACGGAGGACACGCTCTATTTAGTCCTCTACGGGGATATGGAATTAACACCCAACGGGTGGATACGAACCGGCGGACTGCGATGCACTTTCAAACGAATCGAATAAAGATGAAAACCTTAATGTCACTTAGCGTCATGGCTCTGGTACTCGCGGGTTGCACCTCCGCGAAACACCAGCAGATGCAGAACGAACGCGATACCCGTCGTGAGGCGTACGAAGATGTCCGACGAAAAGAGACATTCAAACGCAGTCGAGACTTTTTATCGGACGACATGCTTGGTAAGTGGCGATTTCTTGAACTTGTCGTTGAGGAACGGGGTGGGAGCGAAGACATTTTGAAAGTGAAGGCCGAGCGCGCCGCACGTAGGCTTAAGGGACTTACACTTCGATTTTGGAAGAGCGGCAATACCGCTTACCAGTACCAAATTGAAAATATGATGCCGAAGACCTACGGAACATACACGACAAGGACAGTCCATAGGGGGGATAAACCGAAGAGTGGTAGGATCCACTTCTATCCAGTCTCCGGTACCCAGGTACCGGATCTCCTTTTCAATTTCGCGAAGGGCATTCATCAGCAGGTACTTTTAAGTGATGGAGAAGTCCTCTCTACAATACTAAGGATAGACATACCGAGAATCTCGATGAAAGACAGAGAGATGGATCTTACGCTGGATCTCGGCATGATATTGGCACCTGACGGATGGCTTCACCGCGGGAACATCCGCTGTTCCTTCGAGCGGATCGAATAGTTTGTGTGAACATCTAAAAGTAGGCACAAGTCAGAGTCTTTACTTGTTTGTACTATTAGGAAAAAATTTTATGAAAAGCATGCGTATTTTTATTCTTTCTTGCGTTAGTTTGGCACTGGTGTTTACTCACGTGGGTCATGTTTGGGCAAAAGCACCGGGGACCGCAAAAATCGCGTTTACGTCAGACCGAGATGGTAATGCCGAAATTTATATTATGAACCCAGATGGAGCAGGGCAGACAAACTTAACACAACACAAAGCATCCGATTTTCAACCTGCATGGTCTCCTACAGGAGAGCAATTCTCTTTGCATCAACTCGAGAAGGGATGTCTGACCTCTACCTTATGGATGCGGATGGCGCGAATGTAAGAAAGGTATTTAAGGATTCCAGATCCAGATTTGCCCCAGCATGGTCCGCCGATGGGAGACAGATTTCTTACGTTCGAACTGATGCAGTGAGAGAACTCTACATTGCATCACTGGATAAAAAGATCGAAAAGCGGATCGCGACCGTGGGACGTTTTGATGGTTATTCCAACTGGTCTCCTGATGGAAAAAGAATCGTTTTTGATGCACCATTAAGACAGGGACATACAACCTCCAGAATTCACGTATTCAACTTAACGACTCATCAACAAGAAGTGTTACTTGGGAAAGTGGTCCTAACATCTATGAATTCTCCGGCGTGGTCACCATCAGGCGACAAGATTGTTTTTACTTGGTTACAAGGAGGGAACTTCGCAATTTACATTACGGACAGTGGTGGAAATACTCCTGAGCGGATTGTCGACCCCCTTGCTGGATTTTCGACTGCCCATCCGGATTGGTCTCCAAGTGGCAACACACTCATTTATGAGGGGTACGATCTTCAAAGTAATAATCGCCAGATCTACACAGTGGATTTGAACGGGGGTGAGCCGAAGAAGCTTACCCGCGAGGGCATTAATTTCTTCGCCGATTGGTTTGATCCAGAGTATGCGTTGCCTGTCTCACCCCAACCGCACTTGCTAACAACAACGTGGGGAAAACTGAAAATGCAAGACTGATTCGCTATCAGCACTACATTGCCGGAGAAAATCTTATGAAAATCACGAGTCTTTTCCTTTTTTGTTGTGTCAGTTTGGCATTCATGTTTGCAAGCGTTTACCCTGTTTACGCAAAAGCACCAAAAACTGAAAAAATAGCGTTTTCATCGAACCGTAATGGAAATGGGTGAAATCTATCGATGGACCCCGATGGAAGTCGACAAGAGAGGCTCACCAAAAATACGTAGGAGATTACAGTCCGTTTGGTCACCGAGGGTGAACACATCTTTTCGTTTCTGATCGGATGGGTTCACGATCTCTACATGATGGATGGCCGACGGTAGCCATGTCCGCGGGTTTCAGAAGTCGGTCAGCAGAGCAGAACCGACCTGGGCACCGGACGGCGACAGGATAGCATTCCCATGCCGAAACAAACCGAAATGGAGAGTCCAAACGGCTACGATACACGGCGTACGCTGTTGAAGCAGTAGCATTGGCCAGAGATGGCGTGGCGGTGGCAATCCTTCCTGGTCGGCAGATGGCAAGGAGGATAGCCTTTGTTGGAGACGTTGGGGGGCACGCGTCGGATCCTGATTGTAAAACTCGGTCGGGTGGTGTGTACGCACGTTCCTACCAAAAGAAAAGTCGGGGATGTACTCACCGGCGTGGTCGCCGGAGGGCGACAAACTCGCCTTACTTGGTACAGGTGGGATGTAGGAAATAAATCAGCCATTTCGTGGCAAATCGAGACGGAAGTCGTTTGAAAACAGATTGGGAAACCGCGCTCGGCAGCTACAGTCCTGCTGTCGCCCCGATCGCCCGAGAGTAAAATGTCTATACAGAGGAAAGCCGTCAGATAGAGATCGTCAAATCGTCGTAGTCGATGTAGAGGACAGCAGACAAACACAGCTGACACGCCGTGGTAGGAACATCACACCCGCTTGGTTTCAATCCCAAAAACCTGTCGTTGCGCCACAATCACACCTGCTAACAACACGTGGGAGAAATCAAAAAATGAACATCACCTCTGGATGGAAGGCGTTATCTGAACCCAATACGGCATGAAGGCACACCTATGAAACCCAAACCGATCTCTTATATTCTCACCCTATTATTCATGTTCGGCAGTCTGCTTTCCGTTTTCGCGAGAGCACCTGAGACCGCGAAAATTGTCTATACCTCCGAACCAAACGTTAAGTTAAAGGCAACAGAGACACTTATATCATGAACCAAGACGGACGGGACAGGTCAAACTTAACACGACATCCTGCGCTACGACTCTCAGCTGCATGGTCGCCGACAGGAAGAAAGAAAGATTCTTTTTACCTCAAATCGCGACGCATCTCGGATCTCTTTGTGATGAACGCAGACGGAACGAACGTGCAACAGGTATTCCGGAAACTGATAGGCAGACAACACGGAACTTGGGCACCTGATGGAAAACAGATCACTTACTACCGTGTTGATGTAGGAGGTGGCAAAAGGGTATCTACATCGCCGCAATTGACGGAACTGGAGAGAGGAACGAATTGCAGACGGCTGGCATCCAGCGTCCTGGTCCCCAGATGGTTCCGAGATAGCCTTTATATTTCACTGGAAGACTTGGGGATTCACACCATCAACCCTACAAACCCGTTCAGAAGATATAGTGCTGGTGATGGAAAAAAGCAACTGCCTTCGATCCGGCTTGGTCCCTGATGGGAGCAAAATCGCTTTTACCGATAGATCTGCTTGCGCTAATCTGGGTGGAATTTAAAGATGGCGCGAGAAACTTTTAAATGATCCGGGTCAGACTATCTTTACTGTGAACCGGGATGGCAGTGGGTGTGTAGCGCAAAGTCGTTTTTGATGATATGCCCAACGGCTTCTAACGACGTCTTGGTCACCGCGCGGTATGAACTCATGTATGAACTGCTCGCCGGGGAGGAAGCAATTCCAGCTTTTCAAAATCAGCGTAGGCGTCGCGTTTCACAACAATTGACAGACAGCGACCACAATACTGATCCAGATTGGTTCGACCCGTGGGCTTTATCGTGTTACCCCACAACCGAACCTGTTCACGACAATGTGGGGAAAAATCAAAGCAGACTAAGAAACGGGACGCACCGTCCGTAGTTGCCCACGGATGTCAACTTGTACCTTCCAATTTATTCCAGCCGCGGGAGCAGGACGGTACTGTACTCAACGTCGGTTGACGGATGCCACGCTGCCATTTCAAAGTGACTAACTTCTCAGTAGGGGAATATTCCACACCGTATTCGCACCGTTGACAGAAAACTCTCTCGGATATTGTGCCTCAATTTCAGCGATGGTGTCAGCGTCTATCTCAGTGAATATCAAGTCGTCCGAAGAGAGGAGCTGGCATTCCTCGGCGACCTCCACACCTCACACAGTGAGCCGTGAAACCAACCATGCGTGTGGTGTTAGATTAGCGGTTTCCGAGGCAGGCACATCAGGGTTAAAGGCGCAATGGAGTCTCCAAGCATGATTGCTCGTGTAAGTTGCTCACCAACTCCGCGGAACAGAGATCCAGAGGAGAAATGAGAGATGCCAATGCATCTCTTAGCAATGCACCGTGTAGTGGACGACGTTTCACGACCGATCTCCCTTCCTGCATATTCAGTTACCACTTCCGCAACAATGTCCTCGCCCTCCAATCTGGGGACAGCGAGCTGCGAAGTTCCCAATCCGCATTGACGAGATTGGCAAAGCACAAGGCATGGCAGTACGTCCGAGCATGTGAACACGTGTGCTTTGCCAACACCAACGGTTTCCAAGATCAGGCGGCGTGCTGCCTTCTGGAAGGAGCGAATCGGAAATCGAGCAAAAACCTCCTCCTGTCCATTTCCCCATCCCTTTCCCTTTCGTCTGCGTACGTAAGCACAAGTTCCCACTCACGCAAGAGATAAGCAATCAGTGCGTTCGGTCAGGTTGCGGCGATGCATTCTCTTTCATTACTAGAGGTAATGAAAAAACGCCCTGAGTTGCGTTGCGATTCTGCGACACTCGGCAATGGCAGTTTTATGGAGGTGATGGTGCTTCTCATCGCCGCAGCGTTAGCGTTCGGATCGCTGTTGTTGCATCACACCCATCGCGAAATAGGTCTTTCTGGCGTGCATTCTGAACAGCATCCTGTTGCTCAATCGGCATGCGGACCATGCGCTGCCATAACGGAGCAGGACGTTCCAAAGTAGCAATCAAATCGAATAGATCGCGTCGCGAGCAGAGACTGTGGGGCGTTACGAGCAATCGGGCCATGCAAACGTGGATTGACAGGTAACGCACAGATTCTTCGCTCCTTCCGCTGTGAGCATGCCATCGTCAGAGAGGATTCCCCAACTTTCAACGCAGTTGAGCAACGCTCCAATGCGAAGTCAGCATCGAGAAACGTCAAATCCTGCGGACGAAAGCCTGTTGAAGCGACCGTGAGCACGAATTGCGTTGTTAAATCCTCTCGCCGCACCTCTGGAAGTGTCCTGTTCAAGTTGTCCCTGTTCCTCCCAGAGTCTATAACAGATTCCGGACCGAGGCGGCCGATCGCCACGACGTTGATCGGCTGACGCTTGAGAGATCGGACGTAACGCCAAAACAATACGTCGGTTTTGATGGATACGCGGCGCACTAAACCTGTATCCACAACGGCAGTGATACCGGAAGCGTAATTGATGTCTCCAGCGACGTGGTGCGAGAATGACGCGGCGGCGTTGGGAGTGTGTCTCAAATGCTATGTCCTGTGCGTCGGGTGGCAGATTTCGTGTAGTGGAACAAGCTCGATATGCCGCATTTTGCGAAGCGCGTCGTGTGGCATTTCATTAATCTCGCCCTTACCCGGCAGGAAAACCAAGACGTTTCCAGTTGTCTCTTTGACGGCACGATTAACTCCTTTCCAACGCGTTCCACTAAATCACGGGATGACGACAACTGTCCCCCAAGATACTGCATTTCAACGGGATAGACGCGTCCCTCCGCCCGTAGCACTCGTCCACCATAAATGTGCGAGGTGCTGCGCGGCTATCGTGGCAGACATGATAACGAGCCTCGCATCGCGCCGTTTTTTCGGCATATCGCGAGAAAGAGATCTGCCTCCACACCGCGTTCGTGGAATTCGTCCAAGATGATGGTCCCGTATTGATCCAATTCCGGTCCCGTGGCATACCGCAGGGCAACACCGGGTGTGACGAAAGCGGATGCGGGTTAAGGCATCGGAGCCGACCTCTCAAAGCGGACGGTATAGCCGACCGAATGCCCTAAGGGTTCGCCGTGCTGTTTTTGCCACCCACCGTGCGAGCGAACGGCATGCGACACGCCTCGGTTCGACAACGAGCACCGGTTTGTCTGATAACGCAGCGCACCACGACGGAATTTGTGTTGATTTCCCGCTGCCAGTCGGTGCCACAATCACCACAGGACTTGCTGCGATTGCGTTCCGGAAGGTCTCCTTTAATTCTGTAATTGGGAGATTCGTTTCGCTCATGACAGATATTATAGCGGATAGCCGATTCGGTATCAAGCACGGTTATCAGTTATCAGTGGTCATATTAGTTCTTCTGTAGGAGGGAACTCCGATCCCGACAACCCCCAGTACGAGCACCACTCTGAATCGGCCTTCCAACCAAGTGGTTAAAAAACCTGAAAACTGAATGGCTCTGTCAGTTATCGGTGTTTAGTTTGCTTCGCAGTGAGAACAGTCAGCAGAATAGCCATCAGCGATCAGCCGTCGGTTTCCGTCAGCAGCAAGGAGAGTCTGTGGAAGTTATCCGCGTTTCGCATACCACATACCGACCACCGAAAGGGTTGCGTAGCAACCCGTGCCGAGGGTTTCCGACAGCCAATATTGTCGGGATTCGGAGATCCCTCCTACAGAAGAACTGAAAGGACTGAGCGCGCCTCAAACGTTCTTGACTTTTCTGGATTTTTCTGATATTATAACCCTATATTTATCAACACACATTTTGAAGGTAAATTATGTTGCATCAGAAACTCGTAAAACACACACACCTAAAAAACATAAAGTTTACAGCCTATTGTCTGATAGCAGTAGCCCTCCTGTTCGTTTCTCAGCAGCTTGCCTATAGCCAGCAATACGTCATTGTGGACAGCGAAAACGTGCGATAGACTCAGCGGCATTTGGCGCAGTGGTCGGACTACCTACTTTGAAATCGAGTATAACGGCAGGTTTTACAACTCCCATTGGCAGGACACACGCTCAATTTTACATCAGATTTGGCACATGTTCCGGATCGAACCGCTGCAAAGTATTTTCAATAACGGGCTTACATTATTGGAGTTGGGACTTCTGAAAAAGCACAACAACGATTTGAAGCCGCTATTGAAGAATTCCCGAATACCCAGATGCGCTTATTACCAACTCGGATTACTTTACAAAGCAAATGGTGACAATGCGAACGCATTGGAACGATTTCGTTCTGTAGCAATCCTTGATGCCCCCGAGTTTCGACCTTGTGCCACACTGCTTTCATGAACTCGGGAATACTGCCCTTGTGAACGAAGACTTACGATGTGTAGCAGTAATAACTACCAACTGATTCTCACCTATTACCCAGATCACCCCGACGTATCCGTGTTGAAATATCTCACCGGCTTTCTACTTATCGAACAATTGGAGAGCCACAGTGCCGGATTATCTCTCCTCGAGTCTGCAATCAAAGACTATCCTGACATGGCGGGACACGAAAAAGCACTCTTCCTGATTGGAAAACTACAAGCGGAGATGGACCCGTTAGAAAATGCACTCCACACCTTAGACGGATTTGTTACGCGTTACCCGGAAAGTGAGTGGATCTATGATGCGCATCTCATCCGGGCAGCTACCTACTTGAAACTGGGTAGACTGGAAGAAGCCGCAACGGAAGCGATCCACGTCAGCGAGATTAGCGAAGATGAAAAGATAAAAGAACGCGCAAAACAGATTCTGGATCAGACGAAGTGGACAGTTTACACCGATGCAAATGGGCTCCCCGACAACCATATCCAAGCGATGACAACCGATGGCACATGGCTATGGATAGGAACGCCAAAGGGTTAATGCTATTCCAGACTGCGTATGACAATTGGATTGCGTATGGAGTCGTCGCGACACTTATTAACACCGCTTTGGAAAGTGCGCCAGATGTCACAGCCATTGCCGCAAACCCGCAAGAAGTGTGGATTGGTACACGTTCCCAGGGAGCGATTCCTATAGCCAGGCTAAACCGGCGAAATTCAAAACTACTCCCCAACAGAAGGGTTTCCCTGCTTGGATTAAGGACATTAAGATGGATGGCGCGGAGATTTGGTTCGCTACAGATACCGGAATCATACGTAGGATTCGCGGCGGTATCGAGCCATTTCTCCATTACAACACCCACAACAGTCCTCTACCAGCAGACGACATTGAAACCTTGTTACTAACGCCTCAAACGGTTTGGGGTGCCTCAGCAGAAGGAGATGTCGTCATGTTCGACAGGAAAAAAGAGGAGTGGGATTCCTATCACTCGACGGCAATCCGAGAGGCATGAAGATTGTGGGACTTGCTGTTGCAGAAGAGCAACTGCTCTTCACGTGGTTCAATGCAGATGAAAAATCCAACGGTTATTTTCGAGCAGACATGGATGGCGGGAATGGAAAATCAACTACACTTGACACAGGCATAGAAGATGAAAACGACTTAAGGAACATTTACATCAGGGGCGCTCTGGACACTTCACCTATAGTCAAAGAAGAGCCTGAGGTAGAACCGGTAGAAGAGGAAATACCGGATCCGACAATACCCGAATTTTCACCGGAAACGGAAGCGTTAGAAATTGAACCACCTCCCAAGCCACAAATTCCGTTAGTCCTGTGGATAGCGACGAATCATGATCTTTACACACATCACACACGCTATGCCGATGTATGGCAGTACACAACGACACCTCAGATACTCACGGGTGAATTAATAGTAGAGTCTCTCGTCGTAGTGAACAATAGAGTCTGGTTAGCGACTTCTAACGGCTTAGCCACCATGAACGGGCAATAAAATTTGTTCGTGAACGTCTCGGCACGTAAAGAACGCAGAAAAGGAGACATCAGCAATCAGCAAAGAGGGGTACGATAGTCCTAACATCTCTTGTGTAAGTATAGAAAACTAAGCCTGAAACGAAGTGGAAGGCGACTCTGGAGAAAGGAACTTTAAATCCCAATCCACTCGCCTTAACCGCAAGGTAAATTAAAAAATGGAACCGACATCCACCAAACTTATTACGCGCTGGACAGATACTGAACCCATCCAGATCGAAGACGAGTTGGTTGTTGAGGAACCGCTTGAGATTCGGGTGGGACAACAGAGTTTGATCGTTGTGATGCGGACACCCGGACACGATTTTGAACTCGCCGCAGGTTTTCTTTATACGGAAAGCCTCATAACCTCTGGCGATGACATCGAAATCATTGCCTACTGTGATGAAGAAGATTCTGGGACGCAGTCTTCCGGTTTATCGTCGTTGCAGAATATCGTCAACGTTCGTCTTACGGAGGGACTGGACCTTGATGCCGAATCAGGTTGGCAGCGGAATTTTCATGCAAACGCGAGCTGCGGACTCTGTGGCAAAATGACGATTGAATCCGTCAGACAGCAGGTGCAACCGCTGAATTCAGGGTTCCATGCGAATCAAGGGGTGTTCTATAAACTCAACGATCAGTTAAGAAAAGCGCAATCTGTTTTTGAAAAAACAGGTGGACTCCATGCCGCTGGGTTGTTCGATGAAAAGGGCGAACTCCTGATTATCAGAGAGGACATAGGCAGACACAACGCTGTCGATAAAGTCATCGGACACGCGTTACTGGCTGACTTAGTGCCGCTTGAGCAACATATTTTGATGGTAAGCGGACGCGCCAGTTTTGAAATCGTCCAAAAAGCCCTCTTTGCTCGTATCCCGATTATCGCCGCTGTCTCTGCCGCATCTACACTCGCTGTAGATCTCGCTGAAGAGGGTAACCTCACATTAATAGGTTTCATGCGGGGTCAGAGTATGGCAGTCTATAGTTGTCCAGAACGTGTTCACCGTGAATAGCGAAAAAACGAAAAGGATAATAGGGCACCTTTTTCTATCTTTTTGGGATGACGTGTCTCTATAGGGGTAAGTAAAACTTAAAAGGAGCGAAATTGTCATGGTAAATTTCATTTTGAGCGGTATCCAAAATTTTGTTAATTTGCTATTCTTCGTGGCTATTGTTGGCACTTTAGGTGTTTCGTGGGTATACGCCAGTCGATTAAAAAAACAGTACAGTGCCGATTTTCCGTGGAATAAAACGGCGATTATCGTTGGGATCGAAGTTCTGCTTTGGATCGGGTTTACGATCTTCTGGGGAATTCTTAAAACGTTCTGGTTGCCAATTCTCATCGTTGCTGTTATTGCTATAGTGCTTATCTCACGAAAGAAGCGGAGATATGTATGAATATAGTCAAATGGTAGTGCGCTTTGAAGGCGCGCTATCCAAAAAATGAACCGAAGGAGAACTAAATATGAGTCGGACAGGGAGAGCCGTGGTCGCGTGCGGCAAAGATTTTGAAATTCGTGAATATCCGGTCCCCGAACCTGAACCGAACACAATGCTGCTCCGTCAGGAGTTAGCAGGTATCTGCGGAACTGATCTGCACAACTGGCAGAACGGCTTCCAACAGGAAGTGTTACTCGGACATGAAAACGTCGGTATTATTGAAGCGATTGGTGAAGGTGTGGAAACCGATTATGTGGGTAAACCGGTTAAAGAGGGGGACAGGGTCATCTTCGCACCCGGAACAAACTACGGTGCTTACGGTTTCCAGTGGAATCCAGATGAGGCACCACATTTTCGTGGCGGGTTTGCGGATTATATGTATCTCAACTACCCAAATACTTGCTTTATGAAAACCGATGCGTCGCCTGAGGTAGCAGTGCTCACAGAGCCGTTCACTATCGGCGTTCACGCCGCGATGCGGGGTGAAATAAAACTCGGTGACACCGTCGTTGTGCAGGGTTCGGGTGCTATTGGGCTCGTGACGCTTGCCTGTGCGAAATTGAGCGGTGCCGCAAAAGCGATTATGGTCGGCGGACCCGCCGGAAGATTGGAACTCGCGAAACGACTTGGAGCCGACGTAACGATTAACATTGAGGAAGTTACCACTGCCGAGGAGCGGACGGAACTCGTGAAAGCGGAAACTCCCCGTAAAGAGGGGGCAGATGTCGTCTTTGAATGTGCTGGTTTCCTTCCGGCAACGCCAGAAGGTTTGGGTTACACGCGGCGCAGCGGGACTTTTGTTGAAGTCGGTCACTTCGTTGATATGGGTTCAATCGACTTCAATATCAACCAATTGTTGATGCGCAAAAACCTTCGCGTCGAGGCTATTTGGGGAAGCAGTTATGAGCACTTTGTCCGTGGCTTACCACTCCTTGAACAGAGCGATTTGCCATTTGCCGACATGATTAGCCATCAACTGCCACTCTCACAGGTCGGGGACGGATTTAAGGCACTTAACGGCGACTATCGTATTAAAGGTGAAACGGCGATTAAGATCGCGATTCGAGCGGAAGAGTAGACATATTGAAAAAAATCGTGCGTTCCCAGCGCACATAACTGCGCGCTTGTATCGCGCGCCCACAGGAGACATAATTGATGGCAAAAACGTATCGCATTGGCTTCGCATCCCTTGTGCATGACCATGTCTGGGGCGAACTCCGCCACTGGAAAGCACATCCAAACGTTGAAATTGTCGCTGCAGGCGATGTCAATGCGGAATTACGCGCCCAGTTCAGCGCAGAAGTCGGTATCAAGAACGTCTATAACTCTTGGCAAGAAATGATGGAGAAAGAGGAATTAGATATTATCCAAGCGGCATCGGAGAACAACGTTGGAGCCGACATTGTCGAGGCGGCAGCAGCGAAAGGTATCCACGTCACATCCGAAAAGCCGATGGCGGCGCGTCTCTCGCAAGCAGATCGGATGCTTGCCGCATCGGAGGACGCTGGCACCCTATTGATGGTGAACTGGCCCACTGCATGGAGTCCACCGCTCAACACCTTAATGAACCTCATCAAAGATGGCGCGATTGGCGACGTATTCTATTTCAAGTGGCGTTCCGCGCACAACGGACCGATGGAAATCGGGTGCTCTCGCTACTTCTATGAGTGGCTCTACGATGAAGAGAAAAATGGTGCAGGTGCGTTGATGGATTACTGCTGTTATTGTGCTGATATGTGTGCCTACCTCCTCGGTCTGCCGCAACAGGTAACGGCGTTCCGCGGCACCTTTGTCAAGGACTACCCGATTCCTGACGATAACGCCGTCATTCTCATGAAATACGGTAATGCCTTCGGACTCACGGAAGCGTCTTGGACCCAAAAGGTTGGCTATATCACACCGAATCCAGTGGTCTATGGCACCGAGGGTGCGTTAATGGTAAGCGGCAACGAAGTTCATCTGCATCCGGCAAATGGTGCCGCTGAAGTGGTAACGCCTGAGCCACTCCCAGAGGGCAAACGCAACGCTGCGGAATATTTCATCCGTTGTTTAGAGACAGGCGAACCGATTGAAGGTTTATGCAGTGCCAAAGTGAGCCGGGATGCCCAAGAAATCCTTGAAGCCGGACTGGTGTCGGCGGATAGCGGGCAGGTCGTTAACTTACCTATGTCATAGAATATAGGCGCGGTTTCTAACCGCGCCTACAGCAGCATTAGGAGTATGTTATGAGCAATAGAGTCCCGATTGCGTTACAACTGTATTCCGTTAGAGATGATTGTGCAGGCGACCTATCTTTAACGCTCCAAGCGGTCGCACAGATGGGTTATGAAGGCGTTGAGTTTGCTGGTTACTATGACCGGACTGCCGAAGAATTGCGCGACATGTGCGATGACCTCGGGTTGAAAGTTGCCGGGACGCATACAGGATTGAACACACTTCTCGGCGACGAACTCGCCAAAACGGTTGCGTTCAACAAGGGGCTCGGCAATCCGTATCTGATTGTTCCAGGACTCTCCGAAGAGCATCGGAATTCACAGCAGGCGTGGCTCGACACAGCAAAACTCTTCAACGATATTGCCGAAAAAATCGCTGACCAAGGGATGTGTACCGGTTACCACAACCACACCAGTGAATTTGAACCCATGGAAGGTAAACTCCCCTGGGATACGTTCGGTGGTAACACCCGCGATGATGTCGTGATGCAAATTGACATCGGTCATGCCCTTCGCGCCGGTGCCGATCCTGTGTCGTTTATTGAACGCTACCCCGGTAGATCGAAATTGGTGCACCTTAAAGAGTATTCCTCCACGGATGACAGGGCAAACGTCGGTGAAGGTGAAATTTCGTGGGATGCTGTGTTCCATGCCTGTGAAACCGTAGGTGGCACCGAGTGGTACATTGTTGAGCAGGAAAGTTACGCCTACCCGCCTCTTGAATGTGCTGAACGCTGCATCGAAAATCTACGAAAAATGGGAAAAACTTTTTAATTATACCTTGCGGAAGAACAACGTAGGTTTTTGTGAGGGTGTTCCTCTCTGTATATCCGCTTGCGCCGTTGTTGCAAGCTGCGTTTTTGGTTAAGAATTGCAAGTAAAACTCGCGCCTACAAGATCCAGTTAGGAATGAACCGAAAACCTGCGCGTAATGGAATGGAGCACAGCCCAGGAGCAATCAATTAAAAACCTTTCCGTGGATCCGCTTTCCACTTCGTTTCAAGCTGCGCGCTTTTTATGCTAAAATCCAAAAATATGTTGACACTTAAAGGACAGCGACCTACCAGTCGTTCCGATAGTGTTGAAACAGATCTTTTACTCTGGTGGGAAGATTTTTATCTTCCCGTTTTCGAGTACGTTCTCCCAAAAATGGGGACGTTAGAAGGGAAAAAGGTTCTTGAACTCGGTACCGGTACAGGAGGCACCGCGACGCTGCTGGCGAAACGGGGTGCCTCTGTCGTCGGAATAGATTTGCTGCCTTTTCGACTCGCTGAAGCGCAGATGCGAGCAGTGGGAACACAACGTCGCTGAGGCAGTTAATTTCGCACTGATGGACGCGACGCACCTCGCCTTTCCTGACAATACCTTCGATTTTATCATCTCTAAATCCGTATTGGTTTTCACAGATCATCGGCAAACCTCGAAAGAGTGCTACCGCGTTCTCAAGCCGGGGGGAAAGGCGATTTTCATGGAAAACATGCGCTATCACCCGATGGTGTGGCTGTATCGGAAAATGTTCCTGAAGTATTCCGGCAAACTGCGTTATTTTTCGGTGAGGAACATTGAAACCGTCGGTGCTGAATTTGAGAAGCTGGAGCATCGTGAGTTTTATCTCTCCGCAGTGAGCGCACTGTTCTGGCAGAAATGCATTTCTATCCCACTTTTTTATCGGTGGAGCCTCGGCATCCTCAAAGCTATCGATACATCTCTCCTTAAATGTCTTCCATTCCTCAAGCGGTTCTGTTGGATCACCGCGATGATTTGCCATAAAGATTAGCGATTCTCTGACATACTCCTACGGCTACGCGCGTAGGTTGGGTTGAACCGGAACTTACTGATAAAACCGTACAGAGGAGTGACTTGCAAGGTTCAGCGAGAAACCTGAAATTATCAAAACGCGAGTGAAACCCAACGCATTCTTACACTTTTGGGGTTTGGATTGTTGGGTTTCGCTATATCTATTTACACCACTGGTTCGTTGAAAATCAGAGTTCTCTGTATGAACGAAAGGGTTTTGGATCTTTTGCTGCTCAACCCAACCTACGTTTGCTATAATAGCATGACGGAAAAGTCTTTGCCGTCGTTACCCATATTTCAACCAATTGTCAAAAAGCGGTTTGAGTCGTTCGGGGAGGCTTCCTAAAAAAGTGGGTTCGTTGAGCCACTCTTGACTGGTCGGACTCTCTGAATTTGGGGGTTCGTTCTCCGGCGGTGTAGTCAAAACAGCATAATGAAGCGTCTGCCGTTTTTCCCCGGTAGGGTTGAATCCCTTGTGAAGCAGGCTTGAATTGTAAAAGACGATGTCACCGGCTTTCAATTTGACCACAAGTTGGTCGGGCATTGCTGCCTTTGGTGTTTGTCGTATGACAGTGCGTTCAGCATCTCTGAGTTCACGTCGATGGCTACCCGGGACGATGTAAAGCGTCTCATCGTCATAAAGGGCACCGTTGAGTTGAACGTGGCTTCTGAGACGACCGAGAAGGGTCTCAAGAGGGACTTCCCCATCGGGTGCGGCATCTCGATGCCAGTTGATGTGATACGGTTTCTGTTCGGAACTGACGAGAAGCGTGCAGAGGTGATACCTTAACCTTAGCCCGATAAGTGCTTCAATGACATCCAATATCTGCGGGTGTGCCAGCGCGTCCACAAGGGCTTGTTCACGAATGCTTGGATGAAAAATGTTATTGACACCCCAGATGTCGTCGCGTTCGCCATCTATATAGCGTAGGTGGTCGGCGTGTAACCCTTCAACACGGCATTTGTGGAGTATTTGATCGATAGCACTTCGATAGATTTGGATGTCGGTTTCGGGGAGTGCGCCCTTACAAATGATATAGCCGTTTTCAACAAAGGCATCAATTTCTCGACGGGTTAGCATTTTAGGCTTTCCTCATAATACGGTAATAGTCCTTAAGTTGAATTTTCTGGACAGTAGAGGTCATTAAACTCAATTTCGTTTCCGTCCGGATCAAAAATGAAGAAAGCCCGACATTTACCGCGCGGGTCATCGAAATCAAAGGGTCCACGTGTGCGGTAAGGTAAGGCTGCGAATTTCTCGACGAGTTGGCTAATCTGTTCGGTGCTTGTCACAAAGGCGAAGTGCATCGGTCCCCCCGCATCGTGCCCTGGGCTTCCGGCTTCTTTGAGGACAAGATGTCCATTGTCTAAGTAGATATAAATCTGTTGATTGTTGCGTTCCACGACTTCAAATCCAAGCAGATCCCGGTAAAATTCCGCTGCACGTTCAAGGTTTGCAACTTTAACGAAAACCTCTCCAATACCGTAATAACCTTGCATCGTATATCTCCTCCGATACCGTGGTACCTGATAAACAAAAAGACTCTGGATTCATGAAATCCGGAGCCTTTTTGTTTCGGGTTAATCAAACTTTAGCGTTTCTTGAAAGGTATAGGGACTCGGGTGTTTTGTTTTCTAAATCCATCGGAGGTCCTTTATAGCGTTTCTATCTCACCACAGACCAGAACGCTAAAAGGAATCTCTCGTGGATTTAACAATTTTTGTAATTAATACAATAGTTCACTATTTTAGTCAAGAAAAAAATAATCCTTTCATTCAGAAACAATTTCTTCCCCCTCAACTGCGATAAACCTTTGATTCACCGAAAGGTTGGTTGCAGTGTCAACGATCCCGCTGTTCCAGTGAATTTCCAACAGATCAACTTTGTCAGCATCCTTCAGTCCAAAATGAACCCGAAGGTCGCTGAACGCGAGATAACTTCCACTGCTTTTCACCTCTGCATACTGCGTGAGTTCACCGGTGACAACTTTGATGCGTGCGCCGATACCGGAGCGGTTGCTTTTGGTACCAATCGCTTGCACCTGTATCCAGTTGTTTCGGTTTCCGCCGTCATTCCTCAGGAGGTCGATGGTTTGGTTCCAGTTCGTGACGAGGATATCGATGTCGCCGTCGTTGTCATAGTCGCCAAAAGCGGTGGCACGGCTTGTTTTACGCAGTGCGAAACCCTCTTCCATCTGTGCTGTGACATCCGCAAATTTCCCGTCGCCTAAATTCCGAAAGAGTAGGTTCTGCTGCGGTGTAGCCGTGGATCGATCAACCTCAGCGATGTTATCCATCGTATGTCCGTTTGCAACGAATATATCCTTGTAACCGTCGTTATCGTAATCGAGAAAACCGATACCCCAGCCGAGATAACGATGGGTGTGTTCAGCGACACCCGCAGGAATTGTGGTATCAATGAAAAAGTTGTCGCCTTCGTTGTGATAGAGGGTATTTGTTTCGTTCTGGAAGTTACTGACCGTGAGATCTAACTTCCCATCGTTGTCGTAATCTGCGAAGGCAACACCCATTCCCGCTTCCGCTTTTCCCATATCGCTGCAGCTGACACCGGAGAGCAACCCTGCCTCCTCAAAGGTGCCGTCGCCCCGGTTCTCGAAGAGGAAGTTGAAATCCTGATCATTGGCGACGTAGATGTCAGCGTCACCATCGTTATCGCTGTCTCCAACAGCAACACCGAGACCGTGCGCAGCAGGCGCGCTTAACAAACCGCTCTGTTCCATTAGATTAGCAAAAGTGCCGTCACCGTTGTTACGATAAAATAGATCTGGCTGAGGCGGATAAGAGCTGGGACCACAGTAAACAGCGATATTGTGTCGATAACACGGTTTATCTATATCAAGGGTGTATTTCGCGTAATTGCTGACATAGAGTTCAAGAAATCCGTCGTTGTCAAAGTCAGCAAAGGCGCAACTCGTCCCCCAACCGGTATCTGCGACCTGTGCGGACGCTGCGACATCTGTGAAGGTGCCATCCCCGTTATTACGATAAAGGGCATTGCTGCCAAAGTTGGTTAAATAGAGGTCTATGTCGCCATCGTTATCGTAATCGCCGGTGGTTGCACCGACCCCGTAGCGGGTATCGCCCATGCCCGCGACACGGGTGACATCCGTAAAAGAGCCATCACCGTTGTTGTGATAAAGGACATTCGTAGGCAGTGATAAGTCTGTCTGCTCTCCCTGCGGACGGGCATTGATAAGGTAGATGTCCAGATATCCGTCGTTATCGTAATCGAAGAAACCGCCGCCCGACCCGTATTGCTCATTAAAGAGGCGTTTGCCATTTTCACCGTCGGTATGCTTGAAGTGAATCCCAGATTCTTCAGCCACCTCAACAAAAGTGATGGCGTATGCCACGGGCGAGATAAGAAGTGCACATATCAACAAAGAAAAACGGAGGGAGCACATCATCACTTTTTCCTACCCTCCATCGCCTGCTCCGCTTCATGATATACCAATTCGTCTCCAACAATTGTCGCCAGCAGGTTGATTTCGCATTGTGCTGCGTCCCACTCAAAGAGAATTAGGTTCGTCCGCGCCTCTACGCGTTTTTTCGCGTTAAGGAGACACATCGGTTGTAGTGTGGCGAGTGAAACCGCTTCCTTAAGGGAGATACCCGCGAACCGGACACTGTTCTCGATACCACGTGCCAATTCAATGGCAGAGCCAGCGAGATACTCTGTTCCGACCAATCGAACACACCGTTCTGCGGTCAACTCCACCGATTTTCCTGCAAACTGATAGATACCGGGTTCCATTCCAGCTAAAGCGACAGCATCGCTGACGAGGAGGCACCGATCAAGGGTTTTGGCGCGTATCATTGACTTGGCGACAGTAGGCGGTAGGTGATGTCCGTCAACAATGAGGCTCGCCCAGAGTTCATCAGCACCCAGTTGCTCCCAAATATAATTCGGATGTCGCCGAATTAAGGCGTGCGCACCGTTGCCGAGGTGTGTGGAAAGTCTCGCGCCAGCGTCAATTGCCGCTTGAATATCATCCGCCGAAGCATCTGTATGTCCCAATGCGACGATAATCCCATTCGCAACCAGTTTTTCAATAAACGGAATGGCACCCTTTTTCTCAGGAGCGAGCGTTACGATGGTGATTTGCCCTTCGGCGATGTCCCGCCACCGCTGAAATTCGTCCCAATCTGGCTCCCTAACATGCTCTAACGGATGTGCGCCTCGCGGTCCATCCGCGTCGGAGATATAGGGTCCCTCAAGATGGATTCCAAGCACCGAGTGGGCAACAGGTGGATCCGCTTCACACGCTTTCACAATGGCACGAAGGGAATTGCTAATTCCCTCGAAAGAACCGGTCACGACTGTCGGACACAAGAAGCCGGTGCCGACCTGCCAGAGTGCGCGGACCATCGCAGACACATCTTCTGACGTAACGGTTGCGACATTGAGGTCGAATCCAGCGAAACCGTTCACCTGAATATCTATCAACGCAGGCGCGATCCATGTGTTACCATTGCCGGAGTCTACTTCACGAATTGTTTGAACGCGCCCGTCAGAGAGGACGATTTCGGTAGGCGTGTTATTGAAAAGTGTACGTCCACTGAACTTCATACGCTTGTGTAACTCAGCAAAAATTTATTCTAAAAAATAGTCGATGGACTGTATTTGTATTTTTTATGATACCCGAAAATTGATTTGTTACCAAGAAAAAAGGGTTGCATTTTTTAGAGAAAGTCGGTTAAAGTATATTCAAGAACATCTAAACCAGTTTATGAAACTATGGTTTGATTTCTTCAGCACAAGTTTCGGAAACCTACGAACTACTGCGAAAGGTCGGCTGAAGGGGATAGCGACTGGACGTGGAGGACAAAATGGAATATTTAGCATACGGAAAAACAGGTTTAGAAATCTCACGCCTCTGCTTCGGGGCAGGACATCTCAACAACACCTGCGAAAACTACGAAGCCGGCGGCAAACTGATGTTGAAAGCTCTGGACGAAGGGATTACGTTCTGGGACACCGCCGAAGGTTACGGGAGTCAACCGCATCTCGGAGAGGCAGTACGTCAAATTTCCCGAGACGAGGTTGTCATCCAAACCAAAACCGGTGCGAAAGATTATGAAGGTGCCAAAGCAAGCATTACACGTTCTCTTCAGGAAATGCAAACGGATTACTTAGATGTTCTATTACTGCACGGCATTTCCTCACCTGAAGATTTAGTATCGCGAGAGGGAGCACTCGACGCGTTCCGAGAAGCAAAAGCCACTGGCAAAATCCGAGTCATCGGCTGTTCCACGCATATCTATACAGGTCCCGTGATGGATGCGGTGATTGACCATCCAGAACTTGAAGTCATTTTGACGACAGCGAATAAAGAGGGTAAGATGTTAGAAGGCGGTCCCTTTGACCGACATCTGGAATACATTGAGCGTGCTTATTCGCTTGGTAAAGGTACTAGTATCATGAAGGTTATCGTTGCCGGTAATGTTCCAGAGGCAGATATGCCGGAATGGATCGAGTGGGGCTTTAACCTCGAAACGGCACATGCGATCAACCTCGGTATCACTGATTATCGCCACATCACGTTGGATGTTGGACTCGCACGTGCGAGTGCGAGACGGCGTTTGATACAATATAAAGCGGCTTAAAGTTTGGATGAAACAACTACGCGGCAAACCGCTTAAAGACTTTCTGAAGCAGGTGAAACCGCCGGAAAGAGAACTGGTTTTTATCCTGCAAGACGTACAAGACCCGGTGAATGTTGGTTCTGCGTTTCGGATAGCGGACGCATGCCGTGTGAAAGAACTGATTTTGACAGGTATCAGCGCACAACCGCCTCACCCGTTGGTGCGCAAAGTGGCACGCGGGAAACACCGACGGGTAAAATGGCGATATACAGAACAGGCAGCAGACGCAATTGCATCGCTGAAAGCAGAGGGTTACACGACTTGTGCGTTAGAAGTGACTGAGCAGTCAATCCGTTACGATGCGGTAGACTATCCAGACAAAATCTGCCTCATCGTAGGGCATGAGGATCACGGGGTAACGAAACGGACGCTTGCCGCCTGTGACATGGTAATTTATCTTCCGATGTATGGCGCGGGAACATCACTGAACGTTCATGTCTCGCTCGGTATCGCCGCCTACCACATCTTGCATCATTTTTAATTATACCTTGCGGAGGAACCACGTGGGCTAAGACTATCAAATGCGTTCCTTAAATCCGCCCTCCATTACATTACGGGCTACGTGCCTTGTTTTTTCGCGGATCCTTCGTGGACCCCCGTGTAGAGGTGCCTTCCTCTACAGAGATGTCGTCCCGCTGGGGCTGAAAATTTAACCTGAACAGGTTCTGAAGGAATGTCAAGACTCACCGAAAACCTGCTCGTAACGAAGTGGAGGGCAGGCTGGGAGGCCATAGGTAAAAAAATGTCGAAAACGATGCGAGCGATTATGTGTCGCGAACCGTGGGATTATCGTCTCGAAGAGGTTCCGATGCCTGAGGCGGGGCCCGGTGAAGTTGTCATTAAGGTGAGCGCATGCGGGGTCTGCGCGAGCGACATTAAGTGTTATACAGGCGCGCCGCTTTTCTGGGGTGATGAACACCGCAAACCGTATGTGGAGGCACCCGTCATTGCCGGACACGAATTCGTCGGTGAGGTCGTGGAGCTCGGTCCGGGGGCTGGTGAGAAGTATAAACTTGAAATCGGTGATACGGCTATCGCAGAGCAGATAGTTCCGTGTTGGGAGTGTCGGTATTGTCGAACTGGGAAGTATTGGCTCTGTCAAGTCCACAACATCTACGGGTTTCAACCGGTCGTCAACGGTGGTATGGCAGACTATATGAAGTTCCCGGCACGCTCGCTTGTCTACAAAGTGCCTTCTGAGATTCCGACAGCGAGTGCAGCGGTGATTGAACCGCTCGCTTGTTCTATTCACGCCGTCCAACGAGGAAACATTGAGTTCGGTGATGTTGTTGTGGTTGCAGGAGCAGGGACGCTCGGACTCGGTATGATCGGTGCAGCGAAGTTGAAAAACCCTGGTGTGCTTATCGCTATTGATCTGATGCCGAAACGGTTAGAGGTTGCCAAAAAGTTGGGAGCGGATATTGGAATCAACCCCTCGGAAACGGATGCAGTCCAAGAGGTATTAGATCTCACGGAGGGTTACGGGTGCGATGTCTACATTGAGGCAACGGGACATCCGAAGGCGGTTGAGCAAGGGCTACACATGATTCGGAAGGCAGGCACTTTCGTCGAATTCAGCGTCATGCGGGAGCCGGTAACAGTGGACTGGACGATCATTGGTGACACGAAAGAGTTGAACATCCACGGTTCGCACTTGGGTCCGTATGCGTATCCGCTGGCGATTGATTATATCCATCGCGGTTTAATCGAGGTCGAGCATATTGTGACACATCAACTGCCGTTGACAGACTATCTCACGGGATTCGAGATGGTTCAGAAAGGGTCGGATTCGATTAAGGTGCAGTTGGTGCCGTGAGCATCTTAAACTATTACGACATCACTTAGAGTGTTTCAGTGCGAAAACGGTTCCGTAAAGTAGCTGCGATCTCTAAAACAGAGGGCAAAGCCGGTGTCAAAGAATGAAAGAGACATCGGCTTTGCCCAAAGATTTTTGTAACCTGCTATCGGTTATTTCCGGACAGTTACTGTTCGGCAGTAGATTGAAATCTCGGAGAGGACAGTATTGAGAATGGCATCCAGCAGGTTCACCTCGGTCAGTGATCTCATAATCGGTTGCTTCACCTGCCATAACCTGTGTATCAACATCGTTGATTGGCACCACCCCCCACAGCACATACCATTGCCGCGACTCGATCATATCAGTACCTTGCGCCCCTTTACCGACTACGTGCGTATGCGTTGCGCATCCAATGACAAACAATATTCCTACAATAAGCAAGACAGCGGAAAGTTTTCTAAACATAAGTTTCTCCTTGTGGTGTGCGCGCTCGGGGCGCGTCTACTGTTGTTTGTGGATTAGACTAATAGAACCAATTGATGATTCAATGGCTCGAAGCTCCGTTTGGTAAACATCTCTGGGGACACGGTAATCGACCTCAAAAACGAGGGTTTCGGGTGCATCGCATATCAGTTTGATGCGTACAAAATCGGTAGCAATAACCATTAACTGATGGATGCGAAAAGCATCCTTCATAAAAATAGTCTGTTGGACCGTTGCGTTTGGAAATTGGTTTCGGTAAGCAGTGGTCAGGGTTTTCAATAAAGGCTCATCTGATGTGATCTCCACGTCATTTAACTTTGATACAACACACATCGCCTGTGAACCTTCATTCAAGAAAATCCATCGCGGCACTATCTGCAGTTCTTGCGGGGTGAGTTGGGTGTCCAATTTGTCAACGACTTGCGTGAGCATTGAATCGTCAATTTTTTTCCAATCCTTCGGTGCCGCTATTTTGATTCTGAGTGTTGTATCCGTTACTGTAGGCTCAAGTCGGGTTTCATCGACCTTAAAAACGAGTGTCTCATAAGGCTGCTTCTGAGCGTTAGGCGACTCACACCCGATGAAACCGCTGAGCACGATACTGTACAATAGAAATTGGAGAAATCCCGACCCGTTTTTCAATCCCTGCTCCGCGATGGTGGTGCTTGAGACCTGGTTTGCTATATATCAATGTTATCGTAACGTGAGTTTGCATAGGATCCATGTGTAAACTGGATTCTATAGCAAGAAAACTTAGATCGCTTCTAAGCCATGTTACTCCGTTAGTATATACATGATACTATTATTTATAATAATGGTTCAATATGACAAAAGTATATAAGATTCTGACTTATAAATCAAATTAAATTTGTAAAATAGTGCTTATTAAAGCAAAACATCACGGATTCGGAAATCACTCCTACCACACGCTGCACTCAGTATGGAAATCTTGCTTTTGATTTGATTCTTTTCGTGGGTTTTGATAGAATAAGTTGGAAGCATGAGAAACAACAGCAAAGATAGTCCAAAGCAACGGGCCGCAACCGAGGGTATAAGGAGGTAGGCAATCCCCAGCAACCCTAAAGGAGTTAGGGACTTTGCCTAATTTTTCCGATGAAAATTACCGAGATTGAATCAATTCCATTGCGTGTGCCTTACGAGGAACGGATTCGTAAGAGATACTACCATTTCGCGATGACCGAGTTGGTCACGGTCTACAAATTCTATACCGATACCGGTCTCATCGGTCTCGGAGAGAACCCAGGACCGCCGTTTGATCAGGAGGTGCTGGATGCCTATCTCGGCACGAATCCGTTCGATCACGTCATGGGTGACGGACGTTTTAATCTTGACATGGCGTGCTACGATCTGATGGGGAAGGACCTCGGTCTGCCAGCATGGAAATTGATGGGTCAACAGGTTCGGCAGTGGGTTGCGATGGGTTGGTGGATGCCATGCATGTCTCCTGAAGACACCGCCGCTGAGGTTCAGGTTGCTGCTGAACGTGGATACCGCGGTTTGAAGTGCAAAGCACGCGCTTTTTACGATGTCGTCGAGCAGTCGCGTGCAATCCAAGAAGTCGCGCCTCCTGACTTTCGTGTGGAGTTCGATTTCAATGGCTCGTTAATTAACGTCGAGAAAGCACTACCCATCCTGCGAGAACTGGAGAAGATCCCTGTTGTCAAGGGTCTCGAAGAACCGATTTTCGCTTATGACGTGGAAGGATGGCGGCGGTTGCATCAAGAGATTCGGATTCCGTTTTATCTACACGGTGTCGGCGTTATCCGGGAGGGTGCCTCGCGTCAACCTTCAGGTCCGTGGATTGGACTTCGGGCAGGCGATTTTGATGGTGCGCTGTGTAGCCACGAAAGTGTCAAAAGTGCTTTGGCATCGGGGTGGGCTTTTGCTGCCGCGAATACACCGATCCTACTACAGTATGTCGGCACTGGCATCACGGCGGCATTTGCGTGTCATCTGGGAGCCGTGATTCCGACAGCCACCATACCCGGTGTCACTGCGAGTCACGCTTACGAGGACGACTTAATTGCCACACCGCACAAAGTCCAACGTGGATTTATGCGGGTGCCGGAAGGTCACGGTCTTGGTGTCGTGTTGGATGAAGACGCTGTGAAACGGTATTCCCAAACGCCTGAGCCGACATGGGAGCGGCACATCTCCGTTGTCACTTTACCCGGTGACATAAAGCACTACTACCGAAATCTACAACAAGCGGAACGCCTCATGAAGCAGGGTGTGGACGAATCTTATGCTCCCGGTGTGCGTCTGGATGAATGGGAGGATGACGGTAGTGAAGCCTTCGACGAACTGTTCAAGCAACTACAGGAGAACGACTCGCCCGTGTGGGAAGCACCAACATCTTAGAAAATTAGTATTTTGTGCTGAATAGTTGAGGACGGTTCACAATTTTAGTTTGTAGTAACGCAATTTATTGCGCGTTCACGGGCTTGGAACGGGCGATGAA